TTTTTTTTTTGTGTTAATAATGGGAATTGTTCATTTAAAGTTGCACTTTAAATGAGAAAAGTATCTTGCATTTTTTATAAAAATATTTTGTTACTTTTAGTATTAAGTACTTTGTATTTTTAAGGTACTTTCCGTTTTTTAATTTTGTTTTACATATATTTGTCTTACATATATTTTTATTTTTAACGTGAAAAAAATATTGTTTAAAAGGATGTTAATAACTGCCTATAGAAAAATATTTAGAATTAGTTAATCTTATTTTTAATTCTATTTTCTTTCTTTTTTTTTTTATTTCATTATACAAATATGTATAATGATAATTAAACCAAAAAGCATTTATTAGTTTTAATTGTGGTTGTGTTGAAAATAAATATTTCTGTATTTATTTCTCATCAAGAGTACAAAAAGTTGTGAGATCTTTTTAACTATAACTTTATTTTTTAATGATTTATATTTGACGACATTATATTTACAGAGATCATATTTTGTTAATAGAAACCTCGGTCAACCAACATTAAGAATTATAAAATTTATATAAGTAATTGAATATTAAAAAAAAAAAGAAATATAGTTCCAATCTTTTGAAATGCAAAGCGCTTTGTACTGAAAAGTATTATTATAAAGAACTATTACAGTTCTATGTGATGATATCAAATATTGCGATTATTATCAAGAAAATTTTATGAAAGCAAAAAAAAAAAGAAACAGAAAAAAATTATAGCTCTGTGAATCCACAATAATTGTTAATATTTAGTTATCTTGAGGAAACCGACGAAAATCTTTTGTAATGTCGACAAAGCATTATACCTAAATCTAATGACAACTTTTGTAAGTAAGTATTATAATGACATACTTAGAATTATGAAATTCCACAAAACTCTCAGTATTTAGCATTCCATGATAGTATTTTTTTTTTTTAACTTCATTCAGAATTATAACTCTGAAACATGAAACATGATGAATGTTAATTTAGTAGATCAATAATAATTATAAATTTATAATCAGTTGTCAGGAGGAATCAGAAACCTCTCAAAAAGATAAGTTGATGTTAAAAATGTATATATATATATATATATACACACACACACACACGTATATATGCACATGTATGTATATATATGTATATACATCTTTGCGACTGTAAAGAAAAAGCACCGCATCTCATAATTTCAAAAAATTTGAATTTATGTATTAATTATAATATATAATTATAGAATATAGAATTTATGTATTCAAGAAATGCATGAAAACAAGTTTTATAGATCAAAAAATGATGCAATTTAATTGAAATTCGATATTCCATTCATATGGATTTTCACAAGATTTAGAGAATACGACAATTACTCGTATTATCCTTTATTTTTAATTTTTATTAATCTGCTTCTACTACAAAATAAAATGATCAAAATTACATTCTATATTTTTATTTGACCAGAAATAGCATGTATGAAATGAAAGAGAAACAAAATAAAGAGAATATGCATTTATACTGTAAAAAGAAAACAAGGGAACATTGCTAATTACAAAATTGATATTAAGAATTTTA